GGCAAGCAGAGCGGACCATTCAGACGCTTGAAGATATGTTGCGTGCTTGTGTTCTTGACATCAAAGGTAGTTGGGATGATCATTTGCCGCTCGTAGAATTTGCCTACAACAATAGTTATCATGCTAGCATTCAGATGGCGCTGTTCGAGGATTTATATGGTTAAATCTCCCATTGGGTGGTTCGAGATTGGGGAAGCGGAGTTGATAGGGCCAAATCTCGTGCATCAGGCTATGGAGAAGGTAAAGATCATTAAGGAACGAAAACTGCCCAAAGTCGTCAGAAGTCCTATTCGGATGTTCGTCGTAGGGATTTGGAGTTCCAATAGGATGATTGTGTATTCTTGAAGGTTTCCCTTATGAAGGGAGTGATGCGGTTTGGTAAGAAAGGAAAATTGAGTCCGAGGTATGTCGAACCATACAGAATTATTCAGAGGATTGGTCGGGTAGCTTACAGGCTAGAACTGCCTCCAGAAATGTCCTTAGTGCGCCCGATGTTTCGTGTGTCCATGTTGAAGAAGGTGGTTGGAGATCTGTCGCTTATTGTTCCGGTTGAGACCATAGAGGTTAATGAAGAATTGACTTATGAAGAGATTCCAGTTGCCATTCTTGATAGGCAAGTCCGAAAACTGAGAAACATAGAGATTGCCTCCGTGAAAGTGTTATGGCGAAACCAGCAGGTCGAAGAGGCCACTTGGGAAGTCGAGGGGGAGAAGAAGAAGAAGATGTGTCCACATTTGTTTGAATAGCTATGTAATTGTGTCCATGACGTTAAAAGCTAACTTTCTACAAATTATATTTCCCCTGTACAACTTATGTTAATGATACTCCTTCTTGGTAATGTAATGTTTAATGGCATTGTGGCCGGTGTTGTTTCTATGTTGTTTTACATCGTTGTGCTATGGTTATATTGTTAGGACTGGTTTTGGGATTCTCTGGCAGGTGGATAGGCCCAATTACTGGGGAGACTCTAGCAAAAATTTTGGAAATTCAGAGAGTTAGTCGAATTTTGGAACTGCTGGTGTATGAAGTGACAGTTGGGTCGCATTAGATGCTAATGGCGGATTTTGACCCTCATTCGAGGATGAATGATCTTAACCGGGGGAGGATTTAAGGCGCCGTAAAATTTTACCCAGAACCCGGGGTTTTGGCAGAGCATGGCATTTTCTGCGGTCCATTCTGTGGTCGTAGAACTGATTTGCGGACCGCAGAACTGATCTGCGGATTGCGAATCTGCCGAAAAGTGAAGCAAAAAAAGTGGGCAAATTTTGGATGATATTTTGCGATCAATTATGCGACCGCATAACCATTTCGCGAGCCGCACATCCATCGCAGAAGCCAACATAAGAAATTTCAAAAGGAGGTTCTGCAGTCCTTTCTGCGCCTGCAGAACTGGTCTGCGGACCGCAGACCTGCCGCAGACCCAACCCTAACATCCCAGTTTTTGGACCCTTTTTTGCGGGCCGCATACCTGTTTTGCGGTCCAGTATGCGACTTCGTAGAGCTTAAGTTTGGAAATTTCACCCGATCCCATTTTTATAAAAACAACTAGGGTTTTTTTTTCGGCTGGTCCTAACTGGTATTTTAGAGAAAAGGAAGTGTTCTAGAGTGAGAAGGGGATTCCAAAGCTAACTTTTACCAATATTTGCTCAAGTCTTGAAGAATTCACAAGAAAGTGTCACAAGGTCTTCATCGAAGAGGTAAGGTTCCATACCCTAGTCTTCAATTTCTAGCTTGGGGAAGAAGGTGGATAATAAGGATTGTGATTCTTAGGTATGGGGGTGTTATCTATGCATGCATGTACCAACAAAGTTGTAGAAAGGTTGTTGAGCTAAAAAGGGTAGATATTGGGTTGTGGGATGAAGGAATCCACCACAAGAGGACCTTGAAACCTTAATGTACACATAGTGTTTGATAAAATGCTAAAATGAACTGGAACCATGAACTCATTCCTAATTTGTGTTCAACTCTGTTATATTTCTAAATAGATCGAAGTGGCTAAGATTTCCGAACATTATAGTAATTTAAGGAAGCTCAAGGCGAGGTATGTTGGCTAAACTTCTATCTTGGAATTTATCCCACGATGTTCATGTAAGTTCCGAGTTGTTCATTTTAAACTTGCTATTCCGAATAAGCTTGGTGTCGAAGGGTATATATATATGTTCAAAATGTGCTCCTAATATTCTTATAATATTACATTGTTCTTCGGGAGCGTGTTCAAAGCATGAGTCATGTATTAAACTGTTGTGACTTCAAGTCAAGTTCAAATGGAAGTTGTTATGCCAAGTTGTGCAAGAAATCTCCATGTGCCTAACACCCGTATTTGCTCACATGTATATTTAAAGTCTTAATTTGAAAAGCCTTGTTATTGATTATCCATGATGATATTTGAAAGTTAAAGAAGAGAGCATGAACTATGATGTACGACCAACGTGCTAAGAATGATATTGCGCTATGGCAATTGGTGCCAATAAAATGAATGATATATAAAAGATTATGAAATGAGTGGTAAATCCTTTAAATAATAAATGCTTTGGGAGTATCGTTTTGTCACCGAGGAACGGTAGGACAAAATAACCTAACCCCGAAACTACACGTGCCGGGGTGATTGAGGGGTAAATCCCCGTGTTAAATGTGATGAGGTTGTTTCCCCTTATATGGGATGAGATTGATGTGCTGAGATATTTTTCTTTAAATGGGATGAGATTATTGCTAGCGAGATGTGATGTGATGTCGACCCACACGACATTGTAGTGAGACGACTTTGTCGATCGGGCAGAGATTGGACCCATGTCGCGCACATGATGGTATTGTGAGTGGATGTCTCGGGGTGAGACGGCTTAGCCGATCGGGCTGAGATCGGACTCCGTGCTAAAAATACGGTGGTGTATCGGTGCTAAAGATCTCCCAACTTAAAAAGATTGGAACTTACTTGAAATTTACCCTTCCCCTAACTTGACACCTTGATACTGTTTGAGTCTCTTATTGATTTTATGTTTCCTTCTCCGTTTACTGTTACTCGTTCTATTGAGAGAGTGTTAGTACTATTCCATATGTACTAACGTTCCTTTTGCCGGGGGCGCTACATCTTTAATGGATGCAAATAGTTCCATAGCAGATGGTATTGATCAGTGATAGCAGCACACCCTTTCCTCAGCTGAGTTGGTGAGCCCCACTTCATTTCAGGGTCCTATATCTCCTGTCCTTTGTACATAGTATTTTGAGGTATAGCCGGGGCCTTGTCGCCGGCATTGTCATAGCACTCTTTTGTTTTTGTTTGAGGCTCCATAGACATAGTATGGGTTGTATCTTGTTTTGGGAAGATTAAACAAAAAAAATGTTGTAATCGTATCACCTGTTCCACTTCAACTATGATTGTATAGTGTACTATTTTGGAGACTTGTTAATGATGTAACCTATGGAAATGAATTGGTGTTGTTCGCACGACCTCTTAATGTCTAATTAATGGAATGTATTCTTCTCTTTATTCATGGGTGAGTTGGGTAGACGGCATTGTGCGGGCTTGCTCAACCAGGATATCTCTGTTGAGCGCCGATCGCACTCCCCAAGGTCGGGGCATGACACCTCGCATATACTCCGTCTCCTACGTAATTCACATAACATGTAACTCAAGGGTTTCTAGTTCCCTCAAATCAAGGTTCGACCCAACACTTACCTCACTCCGCAACTCAAGCAATCAATCAACCACGACCTTGCCTTTTGAACAAGCCTCCAAATCAGACAAACCCAGCAAATTATTGACCAAATAATTCAAAATAAGCTTCAGAAACTACCCACAAATGAAGATGTTCAATTTTGATCATATTTGAAAAAAATCAACAAAAGTCAACCCTTTGCCCGCTTGTTCGAAACCTGAGATTCGGACCAAAATCCGATTACCCATTCACCCCGAGCCCCGCTATATGATTTGTTTTGAAATCCGACTTCAATTCGAGATCTAAATTTTAATTTTACAAAAATTCATAATTCTACCCAAATCCCTCATTTCTACCATGAGAATCCTAAATTTGATGTTGAAATCTTATGAAATGTAATGGGTAATTGAAAACAAATGAATTAAAGTCACTTACCAATGATTCTGGGAGAAAAGTCTCTTGGAAAATCGACTCTAGTGTGTCTAGGGTTGAGAAATTGTGAGAAATGAGCTAAGTCCCGTTTCCCCCCTCTTTTACCCAGCTGCAGATGTCGTAATTGCGAAGTGTTGTTCGCAATTGCGAACATCGGAAATGCGAGACAAGGGTCGCAAATACGACATTTAGTTTGCAAATGCGAACTTACCACCATCGCAAATGCGACCAGAAGCTTCACAAATACGAAGCAGACTCCAGTGGTCAGTGATCGCAATTTCGACCACTTCCTTCGCAAAAGTGAAAGTCTACAGTTCACAAATGCGAACAATTTATCGCAAATGCGAGTTTCACCCAACCCAGCCCATGCTCACAGAACCAGAGGTTTCTTCGCAAAAGCGGGTCAGACCTCGCTATTGCAAGATCTTCAACAGAGCACCATCACTGGTATTGCACCAGCATACTTTTCCTTTGCTGAACTTATCCGAAACATGTCCAAAATTCACCCGAGCCCTCGGGCTCCAAACCAAACATGCACCCAATCAGGTATACTTGATTCACATGATAGAGAGAAACAGCGGAGGGAGAGAGATTTTATAATCAGTAAATAGCAGTAAGAAAAATAACTACCAGAAACTATCAACTGTTTCCATAGGTAACAAAAAATAATAAGAGTAAAGAATGGTGAAATTGTGTGAATCGTCTTATTGACAGGAACATTTTTATTTACTACAGTATTTATTATCGAATTACAATACATCAATCCACTAGCATGACCATTTTTATACTAAGAATATATAGTAGTAATATTTTGTTGATAAGTGGCAATGTGTTACTTTGTTAAATTGTAATCTAAAAGCTTAATAATTAAATCGATGACACTTTTATTTATTTATTTATTTAATGTGATACTGATTAATAGGATGCATTAATAGTTATTCCTCCATCAACACACATAATCTGGCCGGTAATGTATGAAGCACATGGGAAGCAAAGGAAAGCAACCATAGCTGAGACTTCTTTTGGCTCTCCAACTCGCCCACCAATTGGAGTCCGAATCGTTAATTTGTTGATATTTTCTTTGTGTACTGGATTTTGCTACAAAGAAATAATGCCAGAGAAAGTTAATACAACGATTAATTTGAGACAAGACAAAATAGGTAAACTTACAGAAGCAGCATCAATGAGAGAGGTTCTTATAATCCATGGTGCAACTGCATTAACTCGAATATTGTCCTTAGCCCATTCACATGCCAAACTCCTTGTTAATTGGTTCATTGCTCCTTAATATATAGAGAATGGTAAAAAGAAAAAAGCAAGAATATCAGTATACAATTGTACAAAAGTTTTTATCAATGATTAGTAATTGAAGATCTACACATATCTTTTCTTTGGACAAAGTTTTCAATGAATTTATTAATAATATATTAATTTTTTCAATATGTATATCTTTTGAGATTTTAAATTTGAATAACTTTTTTTTATCTTTTATATGTAACATTAAAAAAGAAAAAAAATAGTTTTAAATAATTTTTGTCTATAACAGCCAAATAATATCTAATCGGCAAATGTTGTTATAGGTGTACAACAATCATTTACTATACAAGCCAAAAAAGCTAGAATAAATTATGTTGTTATAGAGAGATTTGATTGTACTACTAGTATGTACATTTTAAGCTCAAAACTATTCAAAGAAGGATTTAAGTATATATACTGTCAATATAATTTTTTTGACACCCGTGAACGTAGTTTAAAAATGCCATAGTAGGTTATTTGCCAGAGAAATTTACTTGTAATTAAATTATAAGTGATTCGATTATGTATCTATTTTTTATATTCTCAATGCGTAGAACTTAAACTCAGAGAATATTTAGGATATTATTTCTCAGGCCTTGAAAATCACTGTTTAATAAGGACAAGTGCACTAACCGTGTATAGTCTTTTACACAATCAGGTTAATTAAATCACATGCTTTAGTGAATTAAAGTACACTAGTAGTATATATAAGTTCAATTGAATTAAGAGTGGTGTAGTTGACATTAGTTGCTATACTGGAAACTAGGGCGGTTGCCCAGATTCTATTTTTTTTTTTTCTTTTTTTTCTTGAGCTGTACGATAAATAAAATCTTTAATTACCAAAAGAAAAAAAAAGATTATATAATGAAGAGTTAACTAAATAGTCGATGCATGTCTAATCATGTATAATCTGTGTATATCCGCTAGGATAACTGACTACCTTTAGACGCAGAATAAATGGAACATAAGGGAAGAGAGACAAGCCCAGCAACAGAAGAAATGAAAACAATGCTTCCATTTCCCGAGGCCATCAAGAAAGGATGTGCTAGCTGCGATAGATGGTAAGAAGCCTCAAAATTTATGCCCATCATAGTGTTGTAATCTTCATGAGTGAACTCCGTTGTTAATTTAGCTATAGCTACAGCTGCATTATTTATCTAACAAAAAACAAAGTCAAGTTACTATGTGATGAAATAGTGAGTAAAATTATAAGCATGTATTCCAAAAGTTTGTTTTCTTTTTATGATTAACTGTTTGCACCACCAAGGTATGTAGTTGCGATCTCTCCACCAGGGACGAATTTATACGGGATATTATGGGGTATGTGAACTTTTGGTCCCTCCATAAAATTAGATATTTTATGTACATATATTTTAGAATTAGTATAATATTAACTTTTGGTATTCATGCTACAAGAAGGCTAAATGGTGCATTTGGTTGAAGGTTGAATTATTTACCAAAAGGGATAGGGAACAATTCCTACTTAAAGCATTTTTTTTCTCCTTTTTAATAGTGCACTCATATATTAGAAATCCTAGATCCGCCTCTGCTCTCCACCTACAAGCTAATTAATTAAGTTTAATGAATAGGGTTTAATTGTATCCTTCATCAAAAAATTCTAATGTGTAAAATAAGAAAAAAAATATTGTTTTTTCTAGTATAATTTTTTGAACCCCCTTGTCTAAAGGGAATGTGATACTCTTGTATTTTTTTTTGAATCCCTTTGTTATAATTTCTAGCTCCACTACGAGTCCAACCTTCATTACTAGAATTTTTGGGTTCGAGCCAGGTGAATGGAGAATCTTTTTATAGGGCGGAGCACTTTACTGATCTGTTAGTAGACCTATCTAGTCCAAATTGATCGGCCAATAGGCTTCGAATACCGAATCATTAACCTAAAAGAAGAAAAAGAGCTTTTTGCAACATTGAACTTACAAGAATGTTAATTTTTCCATCAAAATAGCTGCTAACAGTGTCCATGAACTTTTCTCTTTGAGATCTTGATAGTAAGTCACATACAGATCCTTCCACTTTAAAACCCTTAGTTTTCCATTGTTGAAGACACTCATCAAGCTCCATCTGGTTACGTGAACACGTATAAACATTTGCTCCAAAACTTGCCAATTCTTGTACAATTGCATGCCTAATTAATGTGCACTCAAAAACAACCAACAATTAATGAATAAATTTACTATATATAATTAATATATTATGTATCATGACTTATTATAGATAGATTAAGAAAGAGTAGATTGAAAATCAAATCACCCTATGCCTCGAGTGCCTCCAGTGACAATAGCAGTAGTGCCTTGAAGACTCCACCTACCATCATCTGCCATTGATTCTGAGCGGATAGATCCCACGTTAGCCCCAAGACGTTGGTATTTAACAAGAAAAGCAAATGCTTGAGCTTGAGAAGCTCTTGGTCTAGTAGGTCAGACAAAACAACAAGCAATAAAATCAAAGACGGATAAAACCCTAAACTATAAGATAAGTAAGTCTCTTCTACAACGTTTATGATAAAAGCTACTCTAGAATTTATAAGAAAACTATTTAGTATTTCTTGTGTTCCGAAAAATTAATAAAGTTATCATGACGAGTGATTTTATTTTGTGCCTCACACAACTGACACTAGTTGTGAGAGGGCTCTTTTTATCTGACATATTTGTGGACCCATATCTTGCACATCTGAGTCCACAAAATTTTGGGATCACACAGTTGTGAGACAATCAGTTGTGTGAGGCACAAGATAAAATTTTTCGATCATGACCAATATTATACAAAAGAGGAAGAAGTGACAAATTATGTGGTCCTCGATTTCTTCACAGTTTTAGCCACAGATCATTTCACTTTTTAAACCACAATCGAAAAGGGAAAAGGATATATTTACTGATTTACAGTGGACGGGGTCTACTGCGAAACTCATTACTAATTCCGAATAGTTTTATCTTAATTATTTTTTGTCTATTCTAACTATGAAAACTTTTGAATATAAGCGAGGACAAGTGTGATTTGGCCGGCAAATTACTTTGTTTCCATCGCATCCAGTCTTATTAGAGTAAGTGTTTTTGTTGCAGTGACCCTTGTTGGCGATAACAACGAAACCGTTGTTAGGTGGTGATTGTTTATAATTTTAAATAGTTTTTTTCTTTTCGAATAAAAATGACTTCATATATATCCCAATACTGCAAAACTTTTACTAATCCCTCAACGTTTAATACTAGTAGTACGCGCGTTGCGCGTGTTTCTTATTTTAATAAACTAGTTTAGTGTACCTGCGTTGCACGCGTGCCTTATGTCAAGTAAATATATGTGCAAAAATAATGTGTTTGACTACAGATGCTTCATCCCGATTTTTTTAAATCAATTTAGCATTGATATATTTGTTAATTTCCATATATACTAACCTTGTATTATATTTTCAATTTCAAAGGGGAAATATTTAGAAAAAAATATGGAAAATTATAGTTTTTGAATAAGAAAAATGAATCTAGTCATCTAAAAATAATTTAGGGTTATTCTCACTATTTCAATACTATTTTATTCTGTTCCTTTGATTCTTCTGCTTGTTCTCATCTCAAAAAAATTTATTCAACAAAAATTGGCATGAGAATAATATAAAAAAAATATCAAATATATGAATAAAGTTACATACGAACATAAAAAAATGCTAAGCAGCTGGAGTTTAAATCATAATTAAAGTGTGGATCATAAATTAACAGAATTATGTCATCATGCCAATAAAAAGTTTAGAATAACTTTGAGATACATGGCACATTAAAAATAATCTAAAAAACTAAAAGAACTCATTCCTACGCGCTTTGCGCGTGTACTACATATTAAGAAGTTTAGAAACTTTAAAAAAATTATATAAATATTATTAAATTTTGTATACCCAACGTGCAAAATGTAATTGTTAAGTGTCATTTAAAAAAGTTTTTTTAGAATCGGATATTGATTAAAGAGTATACTAATTGTAAATATTAAAATAATTTTATATCTAAATATAGAATTTGCTGTAATATTTTATATTTTGGTACATAAATTTTATAGTATGAATCTTTGAAAGGCTAATGACATACTATTTTATAGCCGAACAATTAAACATAAATTTCCAATTTCTTTCATGTTTACTAAGATAATTAAATAATATAAACTAATTGATTTTAATTTTATCACCAATTATATATCTATAATTAAGAATAAAAAAAATCGAAGGAGATTCGATCGACACTATCTAATATAGTTATATTTTCCTACTAATTAGTTTTTTTTCACTTTTATTTATATTTATATTAAATTATATAAAACTAATTGATTATAATTTCATACAACGAATAATTCAAACCTACAGCTAGTAATAGTTATGTTTTTACTTATTCTCTGTGAAACTTTTATTTTGGTATTACTTGTCTTTTATAAAATTAATATATCACATAATTAAAATAAGGAAAGGATCTAATGCGCAAGATTTAGTTGAAAGATTAAATAAATTTCCGAACAAGGTGTATGTGTTTGCATTAATTTTTTTATTTCTTAAAGTAGCTTGAGATTGGTATTCGTAACTTTCAGGGTATTGCGATTCAAAAGAATTTTGAGACTAAATCCAACATTATATAATTTTTGTAGTGTTTTATTTTAAATCCAACTTAATAGTGCTTTTTTTTGGTTTTATAATTATATAAATATGATTTTTTTCTTTTTTATCTAGTTTCAATTTGTAAAATAAATGTTAGTATATGAATGAATAGACTTATCAAAAAGTTCAATATATTCCAGTTTGGACCGAAGTGCTAGTATTTTACCTATGCACCAATCATTTAAATACTCAACCAAATAAAAAATCAATCATATATATTATCTAATTGAATTGAACATAAACTTGATTTTAAAATATAGCTCATAAAAGATGCTCTAGTTTTACCACTATATTAATGACGTAAAGTTTCCGTGTAAACTTTACGTTTCCATATCGAGATGTTACACAGTTTGGAAAATTTGTATTAGTTATAATTTAAATTGTTTTAAAAGTCCTAAATATTTGGACTTCTTATATAGTAGAATTTTAAATAAGGAAGGATTCAATATACAAAAGTTTAGGTGATTATAAGATCCTAAATATATTAGGTAAATAATCAAATGACTATTTTATCCAATGTGAACTCTATTTTAAAAGGATAAAAAAGTCGAACGACATTTCGCTAAGGGCCTTCGTGCTTTTAATATAGTATAGATAATGAAAATTACATATATTTTTAAGTTTTGTTTGAACTATAAAATAAAGTGTAATCTTATGACCATATAGCTAACTCAATAAAGAAAAAAACTTTGTTCTTAGAAGTTCTCAATCATTATTTAATATATTCACCTTAAACTTTGTTCTAATTTTATAATTTTATCAGTTCAATTTCACAAGTTATCGTGCTTCCTTTTTAGTTTCAGTAAAACAACATAGTCCTTGAAGTTTTAAAAAAAAAATTTAAAAGTACTTTTCAAAAGCTATTCTCAAGTTCATTCGAGAAGACACAAATATAATTAATTAGTTGTACTTTTATTATGATACTTTAAAGATTTTCAACAAAATAAAATAAAAAATTAAATCTTATATCTTCTCAATTTATCTCCCTTCAAAGATTTCGATGTTACCCAAGTAGTGAGGTTTTAATTGCTGGAAAAAAAATTATGATTTACATAACTTTGTCGAAACGTATGTGAAAAAAAAAAAACATTACTAAAACATAAAATTTAATA